AGAGTTTCCCTGGTGTTGGCCAGAGTGGCCACCAGGGAAACCTGGGGAGGGCTAGCCTCCCACTAGTTCGAATTAAGGGGCTACACACCCCTTAATTCGAACTAGTAAGTTCGAACTAGGCTTAATCCTCGTGGAATGAGGATTACCTAGTTCGAACTAAGCGCTCCGTTAGTTCGAATTAAATTCGAACTAACGGAGCGCTAGTATAGCACCTATGAAAGTTAGTTCGAACTAACGTCCATTAGTTCGAACTAACTTTGTAGTGTAGACATACCCTGGGAAAGTACTACAGCCTTATCAGCAGTAATAGAGACACCAAGTAAGGTCAAAAGTGAGAAATATTTGCCCTCTTTAGAGTCAGCAGACTTTATGAAGGCAGCCTTTGCATTGGTGACCATTACTATAAATGCAGCACATAAACTGGTCTCAGCCACATTATGAATACAAAACAAACTCATAGATCTCAACACAATGTGGAAAGAATGTATTTATTAAAGATACATTGGCTATCACTGTAGTCCTATTATGCAATATCTACTGTATCTATAAGCATATACCAGACTATCATGGAATGGTTCGGATTTCATTTTTTCACTTATTTCTCCTTTCTTCAATTATTTCATCTATTTCTTACTCTCAAGTCCCTTTTAAAACAAAGCTGTAACTACTTTTAATAGGCATGTTCAAGATACCTTGAATTTTTCCCTCAGAACTGATCATATCTCCCTGATGTAGACTCCCAAATATGACAGGGAATTCTATAGACTTCATTCTATAGCAGGGATTGGCAATAATTTTTTGCCAGGGGCCACTTCAGAAATTTTTGGGCCTCACCAGAAGGGGCACGGCCTCAAACGGAAGGAATAGGGACAGGATTCTTCCCAGGGCCGGCTCTAGGCACCAGCAAATCAAGCAGGTGCTTGGGGCGACACTTTGCCAGGAACGGCATTTCAGGTAAGCAGCTGGTACCATCCCTGGCAACGCCTAGCCCCGCTCCGCCGATTTAAAGGTTTAAAAAAGCCGGAAAAGAGCGTCTACACTGGCCCCGATCCTCCGGAAAAAGTGCCCTTTTCCGGAGGGTCTTATTCCTACTTCAAAGTAGGAATAAGAGCCTCCGGAAAAGGGCGCTTTTTCCGGAGGATCGGGGCCAGTGTAGACGCTCTTTTCCGGCTTTTTTAAAAGCCGGAAAAAAGCGGCGGACATTTTTATTTAAATGCCGCGGGGGATATTTAAATCCCCCGCGGATTTCCCTACGACGACTGGTGAAATTTACATGCCCCTTCCGGAAAAGGGGCCAGTGTAGACGTAGCCAATAGGTTTAACTAAGAAAATAATTTCCACCTTCAACTCATGGACAAAGAAGCTAGACAAAGTGACTCTTACTGTATGGAAAGATTCAAAAGCTCATTTGGATAAATGTGATTTTGAAAGGTTTATTACGAAAGACTAACTGTAAACTTGCTCAACTGGTCAACAATTTGTGCAATGTTGCAAATATTAATTACAGCAGGAGAGCACGCAATGCAATATATCTTAGCTGAATAATGCATTCTAAGCAAGTGCCCATTAGCGATGTGATTACGCACCAGAGCACCTCATTAAATCTTTGGCTCTTTGGCATCCATCTAATCAAGACAATTGTGCATCATTGTCATGCTTCTCAACTATGACACAACCTGCCCAGCTTGAAAGGGGGCAACTCGTGAAAACATTAAAGGTATCACGACCAATAAAAGGGTAACAAATGTGGGAAAGGCTACATATGTTTAAAGGACTTTAAAGAGGGAATGTTTAAAAAACATTCTGCAATTAGTGCGATTCCAGGCAGGGACGGCTCTAGGCACCAGCAAATCAGGCAGGTGCTTGGGGCGGCACTTTGCCAGGGGCGGCATTTCAGCTAAGCAGCCAGGGCTGCCCCGGCAATGCTTAGCTCCGCCCCACCTATTTAAAGGGCTGCAGCTAGGAAACGCCGGGAAACACCGCGGCTGCGCACAGCCAGCTGGCAGCACCAATACGCCCTGGAGCCTGCTGGCCACCCTTGTCTCCTCTCCTGCTCCTCCCCTCCCCCATCAATGCCTAGCCCTGCCCTGACCCGCCCTCCCGATTTAAAGGGCTGCGGGAGACACCATGGCTGCGCAGGCAGCACTGGCACCATGTGCGCCTGGCCCCGGCGCCTGCTGGCTGCCCCTGTCTCCTGGTCCTGAGTCCTGCTCCTCCCCAGCAGCCGCTACCTCCTCCGAGAGCCTCTCCACTCCACTCCAAGCCATCAGCCACCCCTCTACCTACATCATATGGAAATCCCAGGTAAGATGCCCCCTTTCCGCCTAGGGTTGCCATGTGTCTGGTATTTTCACTTCCTGTCCAGTAAAAAAGTCAGAAAATACCAGACACCTGACAAACCTACAAACACTCAGCCCGCTGGCCCAGCCCCCGGCCTCTCCCCCTAGCCCCTAGGCCCCGACAGCCTCAGCCTTACGGACCCTTTGAAGTCTGTTCCTAGTATATTTCTCTTGGTCATGGTTGTAGTAGAAGTAGAACCAAACACACACACACACACACACACACTATTAACTGTTCTACGCTCTACAAAGAACCACACATGTGGTTTCATAGAT